AAAATATATATATATATATCTCCTATGAAGTGAGTAAAGGTACAGTTTTCATTTGGTTTACATTTACGTTCTGGATTGCACACACACATTCACCATGAAACTATCTTTTTCTTGAGCTTTAACCCTAAGTGCTTTGCCCTAAAGATGCCTTAGATTTGAGGGTCTCAAAATTTTTTTAGTTCAATATCCTCTGAGAATCTGATGACCACAATGAATACTCCCTCCTCCTTGAAAATGTTATATACATGCTACAGAATTTCATACAATTTTATAGGGCTGATAGGCCCCTGTGAAGAACCTTGATTTGCAGCATTACTGCCACCATGTCATGATTTTAAGCAATTTAACTCTCTGGTAGCATAGTGCCTAAGGCACTTGACTGCTAACCAGAAGGCTGGTGGTTCAAACCCGCCAGCTACTCCTCGGAAGGAAGGTTGGGCAATCCTACTTCCGTAGTGATACTGCCTCGGAAACCCAAGGAGGGGTCGCTATGAGTCGGGTCTGACTCAATGGCACATAACAACAACAGAAACACAAACTGTTATCTTAGTACTCCCAGATTTTAAACTTCAGAAAAAATATTTTAAAAGACACTTCCCCCTGCCCTGAGCACATTACCTGGTTTGATAGGTGTGGACTGAGAAGGTGGAATCTGCACGGTAAATCTTTGGCTTGTCACTGACACTGGAGTTGCAACTTTATTTGGGACAGATACTGTCTGTGGGGCTGCTGTAGTTATAATTGACAGACCATGTTAGTTAGATAACTTATACAGATTTATACTCTGTACTCCTTAGCTTATCAGTAACTACCTTCAAACACAGAGAATTAATGAAGGAATAAAAGAAATCATTAGAAATAACAGCAAAGTAACTTTTGAAAAGTTTACAAGCTCAATAGTTTAGATGCTACAAAATTCAGCATTATGTTGTAAAGAATGTAAGCTCTGGTACCTAACTGCTTGATTTTTAATCCAGGCTCTATTACTTAGTAGCTGAATGTCCTCAGGCAAGTTATTTTATCTTTTTGTACCTCAGTTTTCTTGTCTGTAAACTGGAGGTAAAAGTACCTATTTAAAGTATTGTTGTGACAGTTAAATAATCCGTGTAAAGCTCTTCAAACAGCATCTGACACATAGTAAATACTGAATTTTAGCTATTATTATCACTACATGAAGCCATGAAGTTGAGAGCTTAAATAAATTAGCAGAATAAAGACCCAAGTCTTCTATTAATTACCTTAAGTGGCACATTTATTTTTTTGAACAATACTTTATTGTGTTGTAGCTGAAAATTTACACAGCGAATTAGGTTCCCCCTTAACATTATTTTTGTACAAATTTGTACACATTGTTCCATGCTATTGGTTACAATTTTTACAATGTATCAGTATTTTCATTATTTCTGTTCTATTTGTTCTGTTTCCATTGATATAGCTTCTCTTCTCTTCCTTGCCTTCTCATCTTTGCTTTTGGGTAACCTGAGCATTTGGTAGGTGGTACTTTTAATTGCTGTCATGTGCTGAGAGTTGGATGTCTACTATACCTATGAACTTAAACCAGAATACCTCTAACTAAAGGAGACTATTACATACATCCCTTGGGGTCTGCAGGTGGGGATGAAAAACTTACTCCTTTTCTATATTCAGGGAGCTTAAAAAGAAGGGTGCTTGGAGATAACCTAGTCTAAATCCCTTTCTTGTCACCCAAATTCTACCTTTTAATCCAAGATACAATTCAAACATTTACCACTGCATTTCATAAAACTTTCCTTGATTTGCTCAGAAGTCTCGCCTGTCTCAGAAATTCCTTTAGCACTTCATAGGAGTCTTATTAATATCTCATCTCATTTGCTAGATTATGTCCCTTCACTAACATTTTTTATCTTTAAGAACACATGGCTCTTGTGCTTTGCCTATTAAGCACTCAACAAATCCTTACTTATTAAGTTTTCCAAATGATAAAGTCAAGACATCATAGCTCTCTCTCATCTCAAAAAAAAAAAAATTTATGGAACAAACACATCTATTCCCAGTTTTTCCTTTGGAGAACCATTTTTCCATATCTCCCTTCTCCGAAACCAGCAGTCTATCTAGGGATAGAGTTGCTGAAGAAACTATAGCTATCAACATGTGTAGGGACAAAGAGGAAGAAAGTCCAAATGGGGGAAGAAAGCCCAATGGGTCCCAGGAATCTGGGTTCTAGTGCTTTCTCAACTCCAGAAGATGAGGCCTTACTCTAACATATCACCCTTGCTAGGCAAGTTTTCCCATGTATTAAGGAGTGGTTCAAAGAATTTGGTGGAGCTTAGTGGAGCAATATAAGTATTTTGTCAAGAAAATTCATAATAGTTAGATGTCCTCTTTGCCGTTACCATAGCGACCATAAATGTTTTGGAGTAGGTATAGAGTTGAGGCTTTAAAATTATACAGAGTAGATGCTTCAGTTTGTGCTTTATAAAACTAATATATATTTTTAAAAAAAGCTTACAATTTTTATCTTTGATAGCAGTTTTTAGTAGCATCCTCACTCTAGATTCTAAAAAATTCTAAAGCATGCACCAAAGGTTTTAACTAGTAAGAAAAATCACAAATGACAACTAAAATTAGTTAACTTGCCAAACATATATAATTGATTATAAGTTTTTTTATAATTGATATCCACTTAAGTAATGTGAATCCACAGATAAACAGTATATTATCAAAAAGTTATGAGGAAATACAGATTACATATGCAAATTTCTGTCCAGAAAGGTCACATGCAGTAATTAGAAGTACACAATTAATATTATATACCAAGCTCATTTTAAAATAAAGAAATGTAAATTTGCATCCTAAGAATATGAAGAAATAGTCTACACAACTCAAAAATCAAATGTTGTTTATATTAGAGTTGTATGACTATAGGATTTAAGTTATAAGCAGTAAGAGTCAAGAAGTTAACACAGCTCAAGGAGATTTTTTTCTGAAAATACTTTGCTTACTAGACTGAAAGAAATACAGAAAAAAAATCAGAAAATCTAAATCCATTATTTAATATTTTCCTTATTATCTAAACAATATTAAAAAGAAACTGCTGCCCAAATAATGGTTTCTAAATACCATTCTTCACAAAAAGGAACCAGGGGTCTTTGGAGAAATGCATGATTCTATAATGGGGGCAGGGAAAATGATAAGATGAGCCTAGAATACCTTGCAGGAGCTCTGATAGTGTAGTGCCTAAGGCACTTGACTGCTAACCAGAACGCTGGCGGTTCAAACCCATCAGTCACTCTGAGGAGTGCTTCCTTTATAAGCCAGTATTTTATATCAGTTCTGAGGAAGGAAGGTTGGGTAATCTATTTCCGTAGTGATACCGCCTTGGAAACTCAAGGAGGGGTCGCTACAAGTCGAGTCCGACTTGATGGCACATAAAAAACAAACAAAAAGAATATCTTGTGCTAGAGAGCAAGGAATATTCAAGGAATGATGGAGATCTGTCAAAAAGGAAAGCTTTCTTTTGTCTGCTTTCTCTTGCCAATTAGTGTTTAACTACTTCATTTGTATAGTAGAAAGAACATAGAGTTAAATCCTGTTTTTGGTATCATACCCACAAGAATGCTGTGCTGATACATCCAATTCTATACTCATTTGGGATAAGCCAGTCCTTGTTGCTTTCTCATTTTGAAATTTGATAAAATATTTATTCATATCTTTACTAGAGGATGAGTAAAAATATCAATGGCAACACAGATGAGAATCTCTGACTCTCACCTTTTGACTTAAATTATAGTTCAAAACCAAGAGCTGAGGCACTTTTTAGCAGCCAGAAAACTTTCTCCTCTCACTTACCTATAGTAGGAGTGGTAGGTCTGCTAACAGCACCAACACTTAATCGTGGAACTATTCTTCCTTGGTTAGGTCCCTAGGTAAAATACAACCTTATTTTAATGTTAAGAACTGACACCTAAATTTACCAGGAATGAAATTAGGATTATTGATGTGAATTAGTTGATAAACCATGGCAAGAATTTCCTGTTTGTCGTCTATCGGTGTTCTAAAATTCAACCTTCAAACTAGGTTTTTTTTCCCTCTCTCTCTCTCTCTCTCACACACACATACACACATATATTAAGCACACATGTATATATAAATATACAAATAAAATCCTATAGTATTTAAGGAGCTCTGGTTTGGAAACCCAAGGAGGGGTCACTGTGAGTCAGATCCAACTCGAGGGCAGTGAGTTTCTTTGGTTTGGTTTGGTGGCATAGTGGTAAGGCTGCTAACGAGAAGGTCACTGGTTCAAACACACCAGTTGCTCCACTGCAAGAAGATGAGGCAATTTAATTCTGTAAAGATTTACAACCCTGGAAACTCAATGGGGTCACTATGAGTCAGAATCGACTTGATGGCAGTGGGCATATAGCATATAAGGTAGAGTCTCACTAGAATGGAAATACCAGCTAATTTCCTTATGATTCTTAATTTTATTCTAACTAGCCAATATCTTAAACTAAAAAGAAAGAAACTCAGTGGAAGTTTAGACAACAACGGCAACCCAGTATGTGGAGAACTTTTTCAGTGGTAGAACCCTTTCTGGAGAGCCTTGGGTCATATTTCAGAAAGCAGGCCCAAGTCCTGATGGTGTATCATTTATTGTTATCAGGTCTCACTAAAAAACCAAACAACAACAACAAAATTATAGTGGAAAAATTGGGAGTTAAAAGACCTGACAGTTCTACCTTTGCTAGTAACTCCATAAATGAGTTCAGACTCAGTTTCCTGATGTGAAAAATTAGTACTGGGTTAGACAAACACTAAAGTTCCTTTGAGCTCTAAAAATCCTGGGTCCTTTATTTTGTATTTCAACATAATAGTTAATTGCACAAATGATATTTATAAGGCAGTAAATTTTTAAAAAATCCCAGTAAATGATCTTATTAGCCTTTATCTACTGCAGTATCTATGGGGCAGAAGGGTGCTTTTTAAAAATCCCCCCCATCACATCTCTCCTTTTTAAGAAGTTGACTAAAATTCTTACCCTCTTAATCAAGGACTTCAGCCTATAGTTGGGAGCTGTTAAACAGTATCTGTCAGGTGGCAGTCTAGGTCCTGCGTATGGCTTAATCAGTGGTAAAGGGGTTTGATTTTTCTGCCTTGCAATATCCAGTAAAAACTAAAAAAAAAAAAAAATCCGTATTAGAATCATAATTTCAAAATTATAAGTAAAAATAACTTCAAATAAAAATTTGCTCACATCTCTTGGGGGAGGAGAGGTAAAAGATTGGTCAGCACGACACTGGATTGCCAGTCTCACATCATCTGCATCAACATTAGGTTTTTTAGCATGGCTTGAATAAATTTTTGCATCATCCAGAATTGTAGTCACATATCCTGTAAGCATAAAACAATTTTTTCTTAGACACATGAAAACAGCTTAATATTTATGACTACTTTTCTTAATAATTGGTCCCACTAATTTCTAGAAAGTTTATGAATTTTGGTTTTAATATGTAATTGTCTTATCTATATAATACATTTTAAATAGTTATCATGGTATAAATTCTGCTGTCCCCTAGCTTGAGCTTATTTTCACTTCTTTAGGCAGAATTCTATTATATTAACTGTTAAAATAATTTGGTTGCCAAATTCACAAGTTAGGCAAAGTTTTGGTGTTTTGTTAACTTACGGAAAGCAAATTCCAACATTTGATTTATAACCCTTGGCTCATACTCTGTAATTCCCATATCTTTCAGGATCTGTGCCATCACCTGTGGATTCAAATAAAAAAACAACATTGCATAATACAGGTATTTGAATCAATCAATGAAGGTAGTATTTATATTTATGATACATATCCCTCTACTCTGGGCTCCAAATTCCTATGCATCCTTTTACTCTCAGGTGAGTGTCATGATCACACCAAATCACATCCATCACACCAAATCATTGTGAGCGTTCTTTGCTGGAAACTTTTTTGGGGCAGGGGC